ATCATTAATATTATCATCATCATTCATTGTCATTGTCATGGATCTAGGCGCCAGGTCGAAATGATATAGACTAAAAGGGAAAATATTGTATTTTTACGATGGGAAAGTATTTATCGGATTTATAATTGAATTAATCGAATTTTTTTTTATGTAATATCATACACTATCCGTTCATTCATTCATCCATTATTCATTTATTCGTTATTCAATACAATGGTTTTTCTTAACATATGTATTAAAATTTTAATGAAACAAATAAAATTGTTAATTTTTATCACTCAAGTTTTTATAAATAATCAATATTGATCACTTTTTATGTTGTGCGTAAAAATCTATAAATTTTAATTTTTTTGTATAAATACATGAAGGGAACTAGTATTTGGTACTTTCACACTCTTGGGTCACATGTATATATGTATTGATATCTATCACTATCTATCACAATCTATCACTATATATCACTATATATCACTATACATCACTATATATCACTATTTATCACTATCATCACGTGCATAATTTATGTCACATACAAGGGTGTGGAAATACCAGTTCCTTACATAATAATTTTTTTTTTTTTAATCTTCAAAGGTGAGGCCACCTTACATAATAATTTATACAGGTAAGACAATTGAAGTTTTATATAATTAATTTTACCAAGGTTTCTTTATGATTTATAAGCAAAATAATTCTTTCCCATTGCCAATTCAACAAAATCATACACAATAACCAATATTACAAGTGTACAACTAATTATTAAAGAAATCCAAGCAACCCCAAGACTAAACCATTCCATAGTACCTTTAGGGAAGAAAGCTCTAAAGGGTTTGATAGGAACCAAGTCTTCATGCAATTTTTTTTTCATATATATTGTTAAAGAAATTTGTTTAGAAATAATAAATAACGAGAATTGTTAACGAAAAAAAAATCGTAATATTATTTAATAAATACCTTCATTATTAGTGATAGTCACCAATGGAACTATTTTGGTTTTTCTTCTACTAAGGATATACAACCAGAACGGGATTATAAAATTTGCGGAACTTATAAAAATCAAACTTGTCCAATTGGTAAATATATTTAACCAATAGCCGGACTGAAAAGGGATAACTAGAATCCACGGCAATATCGTAGAGAAAATTGCAAGATTCTCTATAAAATGTATATAATGATATATATATATATGTATATATATATAATAAATAAGGAAACCATTAATTAATTATTTTAATTAATGGTGAAGTAATTTTTGATTTAATAAAATAGATGTACTGCCTCCACAAAATCCAGTTCGAACCAGATTGTAACGTATAACAATAACATTTATTGGTACGCTAACAAGTAATATCATTGGAAATAAGTAAGTAGAAAATCCAAAAAGACTTTCACGCATTTTTGATTGTCGGATAGTGGTTATTATATTTGTTGATAAGTCTAAATCAAATGACATCGCTCCAAGAATTCCCAAGAAAATATAACCAAATGTAGTAACCAATACAGAGGTGTAAACAATTTTTCGAATTGATCCATCTTTTTCCTATATAGTTATGTATAAAGTTAATAATCCGTTACACGCATAAACAAAATTTTAAAGAATTTTTCAAACCAATTCATTAGCGAGACTTGGAACTGTAGTTATAAACGCATAGTTAAACATTACGATTCCCACTCCTTGACTTTGATTTTCTCCAATAAGGGGAATTCGCTTTGGATCCAACCCGTTAATTATGAGTCCCGAAATCCATGCGAAAATAACGAATATTATTGTACAAAATGATACTGAAAATAATTTTTATAATTTTTTAAAATTTACGCGTAAATGAAAAGATTTGGTTTTTTTTTTTCAAGTCAAATATATCTTTAACTTACCAACTTGTATTTTAGCATTGTTGGATAGTCTCATCCATGTCATTGGAATAACAAACAACAATGTTGTCTAATAAACAATTTATGTTAGCACACACACACACACACACACACGTCGTTTATTTTAAAGCTAGACACCTAAAATGTGAGGCAAACATCAGAAATGAGACACAATATTATTAACTCGTGTGGCTTACGAGCTTGGTTTTCAGAAGACCTAATCTAATTTGCTAATAAAAACAAATATAAAAATTTTTTAAATCGAAACAAGGAAATAACATGCGCCTCAGAGTCACATTTCAATATTTTTACAATGTCATTTTGTGTTTTCGTAATCACCATAGCCACAGAACCTAGCCATTGTATCCAAACGAAATGTCGATGGATAATTTAATAACATGGTGAAATAAGAAGTCATCACACTATAACTTTTTATATCAGATCATTGGGATACTAATGAACCCGTTCTTCACTAATTTGAGAATATAATAATGTAATGTT